ACCCGGCCCGGCCCTAAACGCGGCCCTAACCCGGGCTGGCCGTATTTTAAATTTTTTTAAATAACCCGGGCAGGGCCGGGCCTAAAAAAATTTTTTTTAAACATATCCGGGCCGGGTCCTAAAAAATTTTTTTTAAATATATCCAGGCCGGGCCTAAGATTGTTAAACCCGGGCCGGGCCTTAATATTTTTTATAAAAATTTTTACATTATGAGTTAATGGTTATAAGATTATATTATATTATAGTTATGATTAATATAATATTGGGTGATGGTTAACACTACCTAACACCCACAGATCGATCTAATTATTAATTTCCTGTAAATTTATTCAAAGTATTAATATATTTTTTTATAATTCATATCTAAATTTTTAGAATATATTTTACCAAAACAATCAAATAAAGGAATATCACTTCTGAAGTTTGTAATACCTTTCAAAGCGAAAAAGGAGAAATAAAATTGATTTTACTTAATATAAAGCATTTTTTAATTGAAAAATTTGTTTTACACAAGTATCATTTTATTTCACTTTTTCTCTGTCCCAAATTCAAGCAATTACTTATATAGTCAGGGACAGATCGCAAGATGACGGAAAACTATATAAAAGATTATATTAAATTACAAGAGGCTCAGGAAGTGAATGAAATACCATCGACCAGTCAAATTACGACTGTTGTTAAACAAACTGAATCGTTTTATGACAAATGGGGCGATGGTAATTCTGGTAATATGTCAATACCCGATGATGAATATTATAATTACATAAATAAAAAAATAGATGAAACATTTAAGATGGATAATTTGTAGAGTGGTGGGCGGCTCATCAAAGCGAATTTCCAATTTTAGCAAAATTGGCAATTCCTGCTTCAAGTGCAAGCTGTGAGCGGAATTTTTCCACTACGAGAATTCTTGAAGAAAGAAGAAGTAATCTTCAACCTGAAAAGGTAGATATGCTTCTCTTTCTACATGATAATTTGTGAATTTTTAATATCTTTCTTGAGTATAGGGTTTCGTCAATCATGCTGGTTTTTTACTTTGCAAACTGTCAAATATTTATTGCATTTATTATATTTACCTTGAGTCATGAAAGTTTTTAATCCAACATTTTTCATTATTTTTTTTTACAATATTATGTAATACAATTATCTTCTTTTGTTAAAAATTTATATTATAAAATAAATTATATTATATTAATATTGAGCAATTAGATTATATTTTCAAAATACTATTTATTATACATGCATTTTTTTAAATAGCGATTTATTTTTATTTTATAAATTAAATAGTAAATTAAATACAATATATTATATTCTCAAAATATTTTCCATTTTTATAAATTAAATATTAGTTTTATTTTTTTTTAATGCAATATAAAATATAGAATATGCTCAAAATATTATTACCATTTTTATGAATATTAGTTTTATTTTTATAAATGCAATATAAAATAAAGTATATGCTCAAAATATTCATTTTTATAAATAACAGTTTTATAATTTTTATAAATTCAATATAATATTCTCAAAATATTAGCTTTTTACATGTATTTTTTAAATAATAAGCGAGAATACTCGCTGAAAAATATGGTAGTGAATTTTTGTATATACCAGGTCGAATATAATTTTAAAAAATTCCGAGCCGGGCCTGAAATTTTTTTTTAAAAAAAATATCCGGGCCTGGCCTTAAAATTTTAAAAAAAAATTTTTTAAAAAATATCCGGGCCGGGCCTAAAAAATTTAAAACCGGGCCGGGCCGTGCAAATGGTACCTCTGCAGGTCTCTGATTAATATAAAGCAGAGACCTGCAGAGGTACCATATAAACGGCCCGGCCTGGATTAAAAAATTTTATGCCTGGCCAGGAATTTTTTCCAGAATTTTTTACGGCCCAGTCTGGATTTAAAAATATTAAGCCCGGCCCGGATATTTAAAAAAAAATTTTTGAGGCCCGCCCCAGATTTTAAAAAAAAAATTTCTTAGGCTCAGCTCAGAATTTTTTAAAATTATATTCGACCTGATATATACAAAAAATTCATCTATTTTGTATTTTATCATATTTTTTGGCAAGTATTATCACTTAATAAGCAAACAACTACATATTTTATTTTTTTTAATTCTAAACAGATATTTAGTATATTACAAATTGATACTATAAAAAATTTGTGTAAATAATATTTTGAGAATATACTATAATTGTATTTATAAAAAAAATAAAACTGATATTTTAATTAATAAAAAATATAACATATGTTATATAACAATGTATCCTTTGTTTATTTATTCCATGGCAGGAAAACTTCAATTATATTATGATAGATACTATGAGTGTTAGCTAGTGTTAACTTTCACCAAACATTATATTAATCATAACTATATATAATCATTATAACCATATCTAATTGACAAATATAATAATTCATGTTGTATAAAATTTTTTTTAAAAATATGGCCCGGCCCTGGTATTTTTAAAAAAAATTTTCAGGCCTGGCCTGGCCCAGGTTTTTTTAAAAAAAAATTTTTCAAGCCCAGCCCAGGTATATTCTAAAAATTTAAAATACGGCCCAGCCTGGTCTCTGATATATAGCTATAATCAGGTCCGTGAAGTTGTAAGAACGATGTAAGGATCAATTAACAAAACCTATGCCATTATTTAGAGTCTTAATTGATCCTAATTGATCTTCAAACCAGACATCAGCAGAATTTAAGGTTTTTGAGTTATAAGCAAAATAATGAAAGTGCGAAGATTTGCAGCTGTAAGAATGATTTGAGGATCAATTACCGAAACTTATATCATTGTATAGCCCGTTAATTGATCCTAATTGATCTTCTATCCGGAAAGCAGCAGAATGAACCGTTACTGAGTTATGAGCAAAATAAGAAAGTGTTGGCACTTTGCCAAAACCGAAAATATAAAAGATCACGATCTGAAACTTGGCAATTATTTAAGCTTTAATTTGTGCGTTAATAATATCCAAACCGGATATCGATATCACTAACCGCAATTGAGTTATGACCTGTTTTTATAGCGTGAAGTTGTAAGAATTTTTTTAAAAAGTGAGGATCAATTACCAAAATATATGCCAAAGTGTGGTGCGTTAATTGATCCTCCAGAATCTTTAAACCGCATATCAACAGAATGAACCGCTCGTGAGTTATAAGCAAAATAGAAAGGTTATGGCACCTTGCCAAAATTAAAAATTTAAGCAATCATTTTTTTAGTTATAGCCAATATTTAGTACCTTAATTGATCCTCCATATTCTTTAAACGGAATGTCAAAAAAATTAAAGGCTATTGAGTTATAAGCAAAATAATGAAAGTGCGAAGATTTGCAGCTGCAAGAATGATTTGAGGATCAATTACCGAAACTTATATCATTGTATAGCCCGTTAATTGATCCTAATTGATCTTCTATCCGGAAAGCAGCAGAATAAACCGTTACTGAGTTATGAGCAAATTAAGAAAGTGCTGGCACTTAGCCAAAACCGAAAATATAAAAGATCACGATCTGAAATTTGGCAATTATTTAGGCTTTAATTTGTGCGTAAATAATTTCCAAACCGGATATCGATATCACTAACCGCAACCGAGTTATGACCTGTTTTTAAAGCGTGAAGTTGTAAGAATTTTTTTAAAAAGTGAGGATCAATTACCAAAAACTATACCAAATTGTGGTGCGTTAATTGATCCTCCAGAATCTTTAAACCGCATATCAACAGAATGAACCGTTCGTGAGTTATAAGCAAAACAAAAAAGTATTGGCACTTTGCCAAAACTGCCAAAACCGAAAATAAAAAAGATCATGTTTTGAAACTTGGCAATTATGTAGTATTCAATACGTACATTAACAATCACCAAACCGGATATCGATATCACTAACCAATACCGAGTTATAACCGTTTTAAAAACGTTAAGTTGGCGGAAATATTTAAGCTGTAAGAACGATTTGAGGATCAATTACCGAAACTTATACCATTGTATAGCCCGTTAATTGATTCTAATTGATCTTCTATCCGGAAAGCAGCAGAATAAACCGTTACTGAGTTATGAGCAAATTAAGAAAGTGCTGGCACTTAGCCAAAACCGAAAATATAAAAGATCACGATCTGAAATTTGGCAATTATTTAGGCTTTAATTTGTGCGTTAATAATTTCCAAACCGGATATCGATATCACTAACCGCAACCGAGTTATGACCTGTTTTTAAAGCGTGAAGTTGTAAGAATTTTTTTAAAAAGTGAGGATCAATTACCAAAAACTATACCAAATTGTGGTGCGTTAATTGATCCTCCAGAATCTTTAAACCGCATATCAACGGAATGAACCGTTCGTGAGTTATAAGCAAAATAGAAAGGTTTTGGCACCTTGCCAAAATTAAAAATTTGAGCAATCATTTTTTTAGTTATAGCCAATATTTAGTACCTTAATTGATCCTCCGTATTCTTCAAACGGAATGTCAAAAAAATTAAAGGAAAGTGAGTTTATCAACAATAAATATTTCAAGGTCAAATTTCGACCTGACAAATTATGGATATTCATTTTTTAGTTCTCCGTTGATATCAAGAAGTTTAATAGCCGAAATTAAAATGTAAAAGTTAATAACAAAATTAATAAAAACAAATTACGGTACACTAAAACAAAATCTAGTGCAGCGACAGACATTCTATTAATTTTGGCATTATTTAATCATTGTAAATTTTTTTATGAGCTTACTAAATGTTTCAAGGTCAAATTTATTCCACTGAAATTATATATGCACTGTCCTATTAAATTTTATCGTTTAAAAGGCCAATGATAAAGCTCCAAAGCCTATTATATTATTCTTATAAAAGTATATTCCTATTTTATTGATAGATCTTAACTATTTTAAAAAATATTAGAAGAATGTAAGTAAACTTGAATTACAAGTAGCTATCTAGAAAAATTATGTATTATTTAATTTAGCCAAGTATATCGGCCTTTATGGCTTTTGTACTTGTCGTTATATTTTAATCTAAGTCGAAGATTTTTTATGTATTATAATAGTGAAGGAATGGTGAATAATATTATGTACGAATAGTAATATATATTTGTTATAATCACGATATATATTTATTATAAGCGTGGGGGCGTTGTGTTCTAATTAATGTTGTTTAAATTTTTCGGCTTGAGTACCCTTGGATATTTCATAGGAGATATGTGGAATTGATTGAGATTTCATCCAATCGTCAGGTTGTTGTTGTAGGTACGGGAAGGCCCGAGATCAGGGAAAAGATCATAACGTTATCTAATATCCCTGAGAAAGCTATATATAAAGATTATAAATTATTTTAACTATATAATACTTGGTTCTCAGTTATTCAATTCGATGTACAGATATTGTGTAATATCCCTGGTTATTCAATTCGATTTACAGATATTGTGTAATATCCCTTAGAAAGCTATCTATAAAGATTATAAATTATTTTAACTATATAATACTTGGTTCTCAGTTATTCAATTCGATGTACGGATATTGTGTAATATCCCTGGTTATTCAATTCGATTTACAGATATTGTGTAATATCCGTTAGAAAGCTATCTATAAAGATTATAAATTATTTTAACTATATAATACTTGGTTCTCAGTTATTCAATTCGATGTACAGATATTGTGTAATATCCCTGGTTATTCAATTCGATTTACAGATATTGTGTAATATCCCTTAGAAAGTTATCTATAAAGATTATAAATTATTTTAACTATATAATACTTGGTTCTCAGTTATTCAATTCGATGTACGGATATTGTGTAATATCCCTGGTTATTCAATTCGATTAACGGATATTGTGTAATATCCGTTAGAAAGCTATCTATAAAGATTATAAATTATTTTAACTATATAATACTTGGTTCTCAGTTATTCAATTCGATGTCCGGATATTGTGTAATATCCCTGGTTATTCAATTCGATTAACGGATATTGTGTAATATCCAAGCTATCTATAAAGATTATAAATTATTTTAACTATATAATACTTGGTTCTCAGTTATTTAATTCGATGTACGGATATTGTGTAATATCCCTTAGAAAGATATCTATAAAGATTAAAATTCCCTTAGTTTTTGTTCCTTATAAAATATTAAATTATTTTTAGAAAATTAACAAAGTAGGAAAAAAAAATCCCTAAATAAAATATGTTAAATTTTCGAGAAAATCAACGAAATTAAATCCTATCATCTACTATTAGATATTATTATTGAAAATCAAATTTTAATTTTAAAAAAATATTATTATAAAAAAATATTTGAAGTTTTTAAAAATATATTAAAAATTTAAATCATTGTCTTAAAAAAAATATTAATTGAAATATATATTAAAACTAGATTATGGAAATAATCTCCCTATTTCTAGGAAAAAATTTGTTTTCACCTTTTTTTTCAATTTTAAATTGCACGCATAATTTACATCTATTTCTATAAAAAGCTATCATGTTTTCTTTCCGAGATGTCTCATATTTTAAACAGCCCTATATCGCTTAGAATTAAAACATAAATAATGCTAAAAAAATCCTCAAACGTGTCGAGAATAAATACTTAACTTTCAGAAAATACTGATTATAATTTTTTAGAAATATTTTCGTTATTAAGCGGCAGGGTTATTTTTGATAATTTTAAAAAAAAATATTCGAGGATCTTTTTCCCGGTATAATTTTCCGGAAATTGATTTTCCTCTATATTTAATTTAAAATCTAAAAAATAGGGAATTTATTTCCGGGGAAAAATTTTCTATGGGAATTTTTTCCTAAGATATTTTTTTCGGGGAATTATTTTCCAGGGGATATTTTTTTGGGGGGGATTTTGTTCCTGGGCAATTATTTTCGGGAATTTTTTTTTCCGGGGATTTATTTTCCGCTTACCAATGTAAATTATATCACTAAATTTGAATGTCTAAACATGTCTGGTTTTTAAATAAAAATCGCTAAACTGACAAGCCGCTTGCGCCGACTCTCCATGATCTCTATGTATCATATTTTATTATATTTTAAGAAGATATTAATTGTATTATTAACTAGGGACTATCAGGCATATTCGGATCAATAATATTTACCTTACAAATATGAAATATTTTAATATATTTATAAAATAAAATAAAAAAGTATTTATTCCTCATTTTTATTAAAAATATCCATGCGGCCAAAATTTATTAGTCCCGACCATGTTCCCACATGATTATTTTTTTTAAAAATTGCAAACTTATTGGTTAGGTTAGATTATTGCAAATATCTATTTTCTATATTTGTTACCAAGATTTACATTACCAGGGGTGGGGAGGGTGTTATTCTTTACGTAGCAAAAAAATATATTTTTTTTAAATTTATATAATTGAAACAAGAAATAATTAAATATATTATGATTTATAAGCTAAAATGATAGATTTCTAGGGCATCTTCATTAAATGCAGTGGGGGCAGTTAAAATCATTACATAAATTAAAATAAGTGAAATCACAAAATTAACCTTATTTAACTTTCACCAGAAGATATATATATATAAATAATGATATATTTACTTCTTTCTGTATTTCCAAAATATCTAGACAATTATTTCGATTTTGTGAGGCATAATTATAGAGTAGTTTTGGGCTCATCATAGCTAATAACTCCTTGCTTATTATCTTCCAGATTGTTGCTGACGAGTGGTTTAGATTTTGTTGAATCTCAAATTTGTATTTAGAAAAGATAGATTTTAGAATTGGAAGTGGCACCGCTGGCTGTCTCCCTGGCGATGCCATTATAATCTAGAAGATATATTGATAAATATTCATAAAGATAAGTCCTTTTCAAAAACGAATTCGAATCGAATGTGAAAGCTATTTGAATAGGTACAAATAATAAAATCTACCATTTGTATTCGATTCGACTTATTCGAATAACTGAAATGAATTTTCTTAATAAAATAAATTTTTTTTTATTACAATTTGATTGCCAGGTTTGCATCCCTGGTTTTCACAGGGCGGGCCGTATAATTATTTTTTAAATATATCAGGGCAGAGTCGGCCCTAACAAAAAAAATTTCGATACCCGACCGGGGCCAAATATTTTAAAACGCCATTATTGTCTATAAAAGTTAAGAATAAAAAATATATATAAATTTCATATTATAAAACAATGTATTATATTCATTCACTTATTATTTTTCCCATTTCCAATTTTTCGATCCTCAGAAATTATTTATATTTTAAAAAATATGGGGAAATATTTTATAAAATACCATATTATTAGTGTTGTTAATGGGCATGATTTGAGCCGATTTTAAAATAAAAAAGGCTAACTAATATTTTAGCCAAAATAAATTGACTGCGCCTCGAGATTTGTCTAATAAATGTCCAAACCTTTGTACCATGTATGAACAAATTTTCAGGCTTGCTAAGATTTTTTCGGAACATATTGAGTTAGCCGTTTTAAAAAATGGGCACAAATAGAATCGTTTAACAATATTATATATTTTTTTTTAATTTCTATAAATTTGAAAATTATAAGATTTTTAGCCTAGTGTTGTTAATCGAAAGAGTCTTGAGCCAAATTTTGGGTCGAAAAAATTGACCAAATTGATTTGAGTTATGAACTCGAGTCGTGAACTCAAGTCTATATCCTTAAATCGACTAGAAACTTGAGTCGTAGACTAGAGAATGAGAATTTTCATAATTATAACTATTTCTCATTTCTATTATGAATTTCTTCAAAGTAATAATAAAGATCGTTGTTTTTTGATCTTATAGCATCACACAGCATATTTTTATTTTTTATATTAATGTGGTGCAGATATGCCCCAGGCTAGATTTCCATATCTACTGTTATTTTTTTGACGGATTTTATTCATAATATAATATTTGGACTTTACGCTATATAATTTAAAAAATTGAGCATTTTTATCAGAACTAAAATCTTGGCCATTATGGATTAAATGGCCATACTGGAGCTAATGGGAGGGAGTCTGAATTTAGTTTTTGCATGAATAATTGTAAATGTAAGAGGAATTTGGTGACGTAATGGAAATGGTTGTTTGATATATTTTCTTTAAGAAAGGTATAAATCGGGCCTAATTTTTCAAGCCCGGCTGGGCCCGAAATTTTTTTAAAAAAGTTTTGCTGACCCGGCCTGAATTTATTTAAATATAGAAATTTTTTTATAATTACTCAAAATAAAAGATATTGCTATATAAGTATAATCAAATATTTTTATTTTAAATAAAAAATATAACGTAAAATTCAAATATTTAAAAAAATTTCCAAGACCAGGTACCAGCTAGATTTTTTTAAAGAAAATATTAAATCCGATCCAGCCCCCATATATTTTTTAAAAAATAAACCAAGGTACGGGCCGGACTGATCTCTAGTCTAAGTACAAAAAAAAAATTTTTTTCTTGATATTTTGATTAGATGCTTTAAAAATTTTAGTTATTCTTAATGTGTTAATTAAATATATTTTTTTTAAGAAATCACTAGATTTATTAATCACATGTGGGAGCTGGTTAATTTTTTTTATAATTAAAAACAATATTTGTAAATTTTTATAGGGTGTTTGTAAAAATTTTTGATATTTTTAAACTTTAATTAACACGAACGTCAAAGAAGTTAAGAATGAAAATAGTTTTTTTATGTTATGAACACATGTATATTTATATCATTTTTTGAGTTTGTAAAAAAACATTTCGATAAAAATTTATCTTTGTTTTGCTTATAACTAACCGTTAAACAAGATTAGCTAATATGCCTGCTTATTGAATGATAATAGAGCGGGGATGGTTGGGACACTTTCAAACCTTAATAATTTTAATATTAATAGACTTATCTGAATAATTAAAACATCTTCTGAATCCCAGAAGTATTGGCTATTTGAAATAATTAATATATATTTTATAAAGATTATATTTTTTTAGAAAATTTAATTTAAAAAAAAAAATTTTTTTTGCCCCAACTATGACAGACTCTGTGTACGTTGGGACACACATATGTGATAGTTGGGACACTCGTGAAATAGAGGTCTAAATAAATTTAAAAATTTAAAATCAATAATCCAGTAAGACTAGATATGACACATATGATTTTATTGATAGTGTAATTCATAATCAATAACTATAAAAAAAATTTTAGCAAAATTTAGCAAATTTATTTTGAGAAAAAAAAATTGTAAAAAAAAATTTCATTTAATCATAAACATAGTGAAAGATAAGTATTTAATTATTCATTATTCAAAATACTAAATTAATAATAAAATTATAAAATGAGCTAAAATGGCGTGTCCCAACTTACTTTGACCAACTATGACCGAGCCCACTAACTTTATAAATATCAACCTTGATTCCAAAAGTTTGCCAGATTGGGAAATAGGTTTAAACTTTCCTAAAATCTATTTATTATGATTTTTGAAACGATAAAGGCAAATATTTTATATTAATTTTGGTATGCCAAAACTTCTTCTGTAAAAATTAAACTAAATATTTTTCAAATTTTTTTTAGCTAATCATGTATGACGTAATTATCTATGTTAAGCTCAAATTTCCAGTCTTATAAATAATAGCTCAAATTATAATCAGAGTGCCCTAATGTTCCCCTGTACTAAATGTACCCATATAATTTAAAAAATAAAATTTAAAAATCTTACCAAATTTAATTACGATGGAATATTTATTTATGATTTTTAAAAGAATTTTAGTTAATGAAAAAGATTGATTTATTAACACATCTGGTTAATATTTAAAATTAATTAAACATTATAATTAATAAAAAAATAATTTCTAGCATATTTATTAATTTTAGAAAAAAATGATATTAAACACAATAACAGTAATTAATTAGAACACAACGCCCCACGCCAGGGTTGGGCAAATTTTCAGAAAATTGTATTCGGATACAGATACAGATACTTTATAAAATTTTGTATTTAAGATACAAGATACTAGATACTTTTGAAAAATTTCAATAAGATATAAGATAAAAGCTTTATTTTCTTATCTATAATATAAATTTATAAAAAAAATTTAAAATAAATTGTAGAAAATAACAAATTTATTATAAAAGATAATGCGATATTCCATTTAATAATTATATAATTAGTAAATAATAATAAATCAGCATCATAAATCAGCATTATTTTTTAATATTATTAATTTTTCGTTCAATCTTTGACGATTTGATTAACCATATTAGCAAAGCTAAATAATCTTTCAACGGGGGCTGAGGAGAGTAATATTGTGTTATATTTAATAAATATTTCATATTTATAACTATTTAACATATTTATACTCCGCCTGTCATCTTTCATATAATTTAGGACCTCTATTTCAATATCATTTATTGAATTATTAGAATTGGATGTGGTACTTTTAAGGCAAAAGTAATCATCATCTTCATCAATTGAAGATTTTGTTGAAGTATTAATTTCAATATTATTTTTAAAAACAATTAAAACTTCATGTAATAACAAATCCTGAAGGTATTTTTTTCTTTTTCACCATCAATCCAACGATTTTTAAAATAGGAATGAGAAATAGTTGCCAAAAATGCACTTTTAAAATTGTTATCAAAATCATATATATTTTTAAATCTTTTATTTAAATAATTTTCTATGGTAACAGCTAATGGTTTGCAAAATTGTAGATTGGTTTGAATTAAATTTGTAATTTTTTTAACGACATTTAAAATTGGAGCTGATTCTCCATAATAGCAGTTGATTTCACTCTGTATTTTGTCAATCGCTATAGCCAATGGGGCCATTATATTGCAATATTCTTCTAAATATTGAATTTCAATATCTCTTAATTTAGGAAATTCTAATTTTTGACATAATTTAGGAAGTTCGCTTTTAAATTTTAATAAACTATGAAGACTATCATACAAACTATTCCATCTAGTGCAACAAGGCGTAACTTATTGTTTTCCTAAAACTGCTTTGATAAGTTCTGCAGTTTTAGGCCTATTATTTGCATTCCAGCTTAGTACATTTAGCTATTGCAGGATGATGAATTTTAGAAATGTTAGTATAATAACTCTCTCGACATCTGTTGTGGCAATTAGACTTATCGTATGGCACAAACAACGAATGTGTTGAGGCAATGTTATTGAGGCTTCTTTAGACCCTTAAATAAACAAATAATAATTTTATTTGAATAAAAATTTTACTAAATTTACAATATATAATAAATTTTAAAGAAGTATTAAATAATACTTTCAATGATTTCGAATTCTATACATTCATCATCATTGTTGTCAAGGTCATTCTCTACAGCTTCCATAGAATATCCAAACTCCTTGAAAGCTTTCTTAAAGTTAGAGCCGTTATCTGCAACAGTTGCTAAATCTTTTTCGCAATACCAAAGTCACGATGAATTTCTTTATTATGATCATCTTGAAGTACTTAAAAAAATTTTCCATTAAGTATGCTTAGTTTAAATTTATTGTTATAATTTTCGGTTGAAGAATCATCTGAAGACGAAGATAAACATATTATTCTATTTTCGCACAAATTAAAGCCTAAATAATTGCCAAATTTCAGATCGTGATCTTTTATATTTTCGGTTTTGGCTAAGTGCCAGCACTTTCTTAATTTGCTCATAACTCAGTAACGGTTCATTCTGCTGCTTTCCGGATAGAAGATCAATTAGGATCAATTAACGGGCTATACAATGGTATAAGTTTCGGTAATTGATCCTCAAATCGTTCTTACAGCTTAAATATTTCCGCCAACTTAACGTTTTTAAAACGGTTATAACTCGGTATTGGTTAGTGATATCGATATCCGGTTTGGTGATTGTTAATGTACGTATTGAATACTACATAATTGCCAAGTTTCAAAACATGATCTTTTTTATTTTCGGTTTTGGCAGTTTTGGCAAAGTGCCAATACTTTTTTGTTTTGCTTATAACTCACGAACGGTTCATTCTGTTGATATGCGGTTTAAAGATTCTGGAGGATCAATTAACGCACCACAATTTGGTATAGTTTTTGGTAATTGATCCTCACTTTTTAAAAAAATTCTTACAACTTCACGCTTTAAAAACAGGTCATAACTCGGTTGCGGTTAGTGATATCGATATCCGGTTTGGAAATTATTTACGCACAAATTAAAGCCTAAATAATTGCCAAATTTCAGATCGTGATCTTTTATATTTTCGGTTTTGGCTAAGTGCCAGCACTTTCTTAATTTGCTCATAACTCAGTAACGGTTTATTCTGCTGCTTTCCGGATAGAAGATCAATTAACGGGCTATACAATGATATAAATTTCGGTAATTGATCCTCAAATCATTCTTACAGCTGCAAATCTTCGCACTTTCATTATTTTGCTTATAACTCAATAGCCTTTAATTTTTTTGACATTCCGTTTAAAGAATATGGAGGATCAATTAAGGTACTAAATATTGGCTATAACTAAAAAAATGATTGCTTAAATTTTTAATTTTGGCAAGGTGCCATAACCTTTCTATTTTGCTTATAACTCACGAGCGGTTCATTCTGTTGTTATGCGGTTTAAAGATTCTGGAGGATCAATTAACGCACCACACTTTGGCATATATTTTGGTAATTGATCCTCACTTTTTAAAAAAATTCTTACAACTTCACGCTATAAAAACAGGTCATAACTCAATTGCGGTTAGTGATATCGATATCCGGTTTGGATATTATTAACGCACAAATTAAAGCTTAAATAATTGCCAAGTTTCAGATCGTGATCTTTTATATTTTCGGTTTTGGCAAAGTGCCAACACTTTCTTATTTTGCTCATAACTCAGTAACGGTTCATTCTGCTGCTTTCCGGATAGAAGATCAATTAGGATCAATTAACGGGCTATACAATGATATAAGTTTCGGTAATTGATCCTCAAATCATTCTTACAGCTGCAAATCTTCGCACTTTCATTATTTTGCTTATAACTCAAAAACCTTTAATTCTGCTGATGTCTGGTTTGAAGATCAATTAGGATCAATTAAGACTCTAAATAATGGCATAGGTTTTGTTAATTGATCCTTACATCGTTCTTACAACTTCACGGACCTGCTATAATCTTATAAAAATTAAGAGCATTATATAAAAATTGTACGTATTAATTTTTTATAAAATTTCACAAATAAATAAATTTTTATTCAAATTTATTATTTTTAAAAAAAATTTTAAATACCGAAAAATGAAATAGGACATTAATTTATTTTTACATTAAAAATAGCCTGTTATTTTTATTTCAAAATTTATTTATTTGATTAGATTTTGGACACAGCCTTAAAAAAAATTATGATAAATGACGAAAATTGATTTAGAACACTATTTTTAAATTAAAATTAGCTTGCTATTTTTTTCTTCAAAATTTATATTTTTTAGATTTTGGACACAGCCTAACATAATATAATTTTACCAAATCTTTTCATTGAAAAATTTCTGTTATGGCTGTGTCCAAAATCTAAATAAAAATTTTGAAGAAATATTAACAAGCGATTTTTAATTTAAAAATAAAATATTATTCTTTGTCAATTTACTAATTTTTATAAGAAAACTAATCATTTTTTTCTTTCTTGTTTTTTTATTATAATTTCTATAAAACTTGGCTGTCTAAGATGTTTTATCATTAATTTGCAAAAATTTATAAATTCTGAGGTTTTTTCAAAACATTTTGGACTACCCTTATTTTAATTTTTTACTAAACTTTAAAAAAAAATAATGTAAGATTTCGGAAATATATCATAATTTTTTAATTTGCGAAACATTTTTAACAGTCTTATATAGTATTAGCTAAGAAAAAAGCACCTAACATTTAGATATCATTAAAACATATGGCTTTCAGTTGTTAAAAAATTACTTTTTAAATGGATCTAGATCAGACACCTCGTCTAAAACATATCTAGATAGGATGCTATTTTTAACATATGGTTCGTCGAAGTGTCTCAAACAGAAATCTGATTCAAATCGAGTACCATATAAAAAAATCCCTATTTTTATCGTTGTTTTGAACAAATTCTAAAACAAACATTATAAAAAAATTTTACATTTAACTTCTAATTTGTTAAATTAAAAGTTAGCATAATATCTATAAATTAAAAAATTCTAAATAAATTATTTGATTTAATTTTAACAATTAATGGGGGTCAGCAAGGATTTATTATTCCTTTACATGACAAAAACTCCCTTCACAATCTTGAACTTAATATCTATAAAAAAAATTATAATCAAAATAGCCTGTGGATCTTCACCTATATATGTTATAGATTATTTATAACTTTATCTAGACAATATAGATTATTTATAACTTTATCTAGACAATATAGATTATTTATAACTTTATTTAGACAATTACTATAGTTCTCTCATTAGTTCAAATCACGAAAATATAAAATTTATCAAATTCTTTTTCTTTAGGGGCGCTACTTTTCTTGAATCATTAAAATAAAAATATTGTGCATTGGATGTTAGTTATTATGTATATGATAGCTAGGCAATATTTGATTCAAAATTTTGTGCATTGGATGTTAGTTATTATCTATATGATAGCTAGGCAATATTTGATTCAAAATTTTGCATGAGCATTCTCAAAAAAGTCTATTCAGAGATAAAAATCTTCAAGGATTTTTTTATTTTAACGATCATTTCAAACTGGGAAAAGGCATATAATAAGATTATTTCATTTTATTGGATATAACATCGAAACTTAATATTTTTTTTGTTCAATTTCGTAACTTAATGCATTATAAAACTAGTTCTTGGATCGTTTTCAATTTTTCCTTGCCAGCAAGATGTAAAAATTTGAGTTCAGATTATACCAACCCATAGAAATTTTATATCCATTGTTCAGCCTGGTCCGTTAATATTTTTGCTAGTCCCAGATTAAAAATATATAAAATTGTGATAATAATCATTAGACATTGCAAAAAAATATGGTTGAATCAGGAATAAATCGATATACATAAATAGCGAGCGAATATTTTATTTCAGTCATAACTTCAAATAAAAATATATTATAATAGTAAATTCGTAATAACATCATTTAGTGTATAGTTATATTTAAACTTCAGTAATACTAATACACCAAGCGTTCGTAATAATATATAATTCATATCTTAAACATTTTTTAAAAATAATTCAATATTCTTTATGAAAACCAATGATAAATATTATGATAAGGATATAGAGCCATTATAGGATCCTCTCATAACGAGATTAATTATTGAATTTAAGGGATAATAGAGCATAAAAACGTTTTATTTAACGACCTCAATATAAATTATCAAAGGGATAATTATAAATAGAGGGGAATCAACCCAAATTTTTTTATTCATAATATATTTGTATTTAGAGTTTGTCGAGATAATTGGATACATCAGGAATACTCTCTTTAAGCCCTTTGCGTATACGTTTAGCCGTAATTATCTCGAAAGGCTTCGATTTCGGGTCAGTAGGGTCTCCTGGCAGAATTTGCCAATGATCGAATACACATTGAGGAAAAGCTTGGCCACTCGTATTCGATCTTAAGTCAGCTGTGAAGCCTAATGATAAAGTAACAAAAGTTAATATTAGATCTTGAAATTTTAAAAAATAATTACTTCGATAAAGAAAAGTAAGCATAATATGCTATTGTCTTATTTGGGCATTTATAATAGAGGCTAATTTTACAAACATATGCAATAATTATTAAAGAAAATATAAATTAAAAACCAAATGATTCGTTGACGGGCAAGAAAGCTTTGACAACAAAAATGGGAGTGCCAAACACTTGTCCTTCTTCGAACACATGTCCACGACGTCTATTCAGCACACCATATATACCGCCTACTGCTTGTTCCGGACACTTTATAAGTAAAATTATGATACAACTATCAAATTTTTTCAAAAATAAAATTGTGAGTTATATAGTTTTTTAGTGATTTATTCATAAATGATATATAGAAAAAACTATAGTGCATCATATATCCATACTATCGAAGCTAAATATTTTTTTAATTATGAAAATCAAAAAAACAATTTTGTAAAAAATATCACAATATTTACATTTAATAAATGGTAATTTATTACTTTTACCATCACTCTCTGAACTAGAAGATTCAACATTATAATGAATTAAATATCCGCCAATTCATATAAACTGATAATAATCCATCATATCCTTTATAAAATAACCTGTCTTGGTTCTCTTTTTTATACTCTAGCCACACCACTGTCTCCAAAAAATCTATGAAGTGATTAAGAACTTGTCCATGTTTGTTCAACTTTTAATTGAGTAATTTGAAATTACTTTATCTAAATCATCAATTCCAACTAGAATGTAAAAGTATATCTGATAATTTTCACTTAAGATATCACAAGTGCGTTAAGAATGAAGATTCATCTATTCCTAAAATAACTCAGTATATTCAAAAGAAAACTATAAATATTAATGCTTCCTTAACTATTAAAGCAAATATGTGATACCATGATCTAGTATTGCACCATGGAGATGTGGACTTTCGACAAATGGCTCTATCTATGGTAATTGGTAGCAAGATTATCACCATCCAACTACTTTATCAAGAAATGCAATGGTTATGACATATCAAATTAGAACAAAAACTGCTCTTCTACCACTGGTATTCGGACAGATTTCTTCAAAGAGTTTTCCTATTTAACTGTTTATTCTTTATATTGAAGGTGAGACTTTATATAAATATGTTTTATTTACTAGCAAGTCTAAAGAAGAGAAAAAACCGCTGAGAACTTACATAAGAAAATGCTACAAAATTTTGGCCCAATTGGAATAATTCCCGATAAAGTGAAAAATATTAATATCTGATCAAGGAGCTAATATAATTAAAACCCTAGAAAAATATACCAGATTAAATTGCAGCTCATATCTGTTAAATACAGATCGTCAAAATACTTTTAAGGAACAATCCTATTTTCGCTCCTAATATATATCAAACCCTTATTTCTGCTAAAAAATTAAAACAAAGTGGCAAAAATCAATTTTTAGATAAAACAGCAAGATATTGAAACATGATTCGAAACTATATAAGATGAAATCTATTTATAACCAATATGATATCGTCAATTTTTTATCTTAATAGAAGGGAAAATTTGGGAAAATTTTTTAAAAAATTTGATTGATATTTTACATCCTATAGAAAGCTACTAAAGAACTAGAAGGAGAGATTAATCCTACTTTATATAAAGTACTGCTATGCTTTAATATTCTTCATGAGGATTTAAATACTTTTTATCAAAACAATGAAATAAATCAAATAAAAATAGATATTTTGCATAAAATAGCGATATTTTTATGCTCCAAATACAGAAAATTAATGTTATCATCCATAAAAAGATTAGAAGTAGAGAACTGTCAAAGAATATAATTAAATTGTTCTCTCATTTTTATATATCAGATAATAAGGAGGAATATCAAAAAAAGGAAACAGATGAGCATGTATTTGAATATAAAAGAAAAAAATATAGATCCGGAAAAAGATATATTAAAATGATGGAGTTAAAATGAAATTATATTATTAAAATGATGGAGTTAAAATGAAATTATATTATCAAAAGATGGCAAAATTTGCTAGAAGATTCTAGCCAATTCCTGCAAAGTCCACAACTTCAAGACGAACTTTTTTAAAGACTGGAAGGCTATTAGAAGAAATAGATTAAAACAAAAAAATATTGATACTTTAATAATTTTAAATGATAATTATAAATATGAAGTTAATTTATATAATATTATAATTATTATTTGTTTGGTCTAGTTATTTTTGATATAGTATCTTAAATAAATAATTAAATACTAAATAAATTTTCTATTGAGATATTTGTAATACAAAATATTATATATAAAAAATAAATTAAAAGCTAATAATCGAAAAAAACTAAATAAAATTAATCAAAATTTTTAGACAAATAAAAAAAATCTTGAAAAATTAGGCTCGAGGCAGATCATTAACTCCAATATTAAACCTTTTGACAAACGCTGATAAAATCAGTTGGTTCTGATTGACAAATATTAGAGGTCAAGTATTGGCCTATAATCAAACCATTTGGTGATGCAGTGTCACCATATCAATTGAACCACGTCCCTGCTTACTCAGAGATAGGTCAGTTGAGAATATCATTTCCATAAGAAGTCGATAACGTAAACAAGCCAGGTCCTGATGTGTTTTTTAAGGCATTCATTAATTGTTAACTATAAAAATATCAATCAAAATATATGTAAGTATTAAGTGGAAGCGTAAACATCTCCAAACCATTCGCCAAAAAAATAACAAAGGATAATTATCATCATCATCGGATTTTGAATCTCTTGCCGAAAATTTACTTATCTCGCTATATTGAAATCTATAAGTTAATTAACCAATCAGAGCATAATTTATTAATTATTTAAGTAAAAAATTAATAAATTATTTATACTTATTTTTACCTTTTTAAAAATTTTGACTCACCATATAATTTAGTGAAATATTGGTATACAAATTTTTATAAAAGAGCACTTTTTGGGTATTTATAAAATCGATATATAGAAATATTAATATAATTATATTTTTAAATTATTAAAATATCATAAATAATATGCCAAGAGATGGGATATGTTGTTTTAATACTACTGAAAATATTTTACAACAATACATAAAACTGTTTTCTTTAAAAAAATATTTATTGAAATTAAATTACTAATCAAAACCTGAATCTCGACTAAGTAGACAGGTTCCAGGAGAGTGGGCTTAGCAGTCAACATACACGCATAAAGACATCGCCTAGCAGTTGGTATAATTTGCCCACCCCCACGATGTATAGCATCAGCATGGAGAGTAACGTCGTGGACGTTGAAACGTACTCCTCTGACGTTTTCTTCACATAATACGCCTTCTTTTGTGGCCCATTGAAAACCAGCAACGACGCTGTCCTGTTTAAATATTCATAAAAATTTTTCATGTCCTTAATTTGGTGCAAAGTGGGGGTTTTTGAATTTAACTGTAAATAATTTCTAACTAGGAAAAGTATTCTAATTTTGTAAAAAAAACTTTGATCTCGTTCAGGTATTGAACTCCCTTTGTGCAATCGACGAGGATGTTGGGACCTTTGCCTTCAGGACCAAAGCACCAAATCTTCCTCGCTTCAGATATGTCAAACTCGTATTTGTCTGCCAAATAACGACCACGGGCTTTAAATTCTTGATTAGGTGCTACATCTCCCTTAATTTTGATGTCGCAAAAATATGGCGTATTTGGCGTTTAAAATGAACTTTCATAATTATTAATTATAATACATAATTTAAAAAAATGTTTCGATAGACAGGATGAAAGAATGGTATAAAAACAAACCAAGACTTTCGTTTTAATATCGATTAAATCATATCATTCCCTCGTTTAGGTAACAACTCTTTTCACTCAATTATATATAATAAAAAGGTGATAGAGAAAAGGGAAAATATAATAATTTGGTCTTCAAATAACTGGATTTTTTACATCATTACAAACCAATATTTATATTAAAAGTTAATAATTTAATAAACCTTATCAATATCTTCTGCCAGACCGTCAGGCATAGGACCAGCTGTCATAAAAAGCCTATTGTGTTTGTTGGCAGATTTGCTAAGACAGGTCTGGTTAGACCCTTCTGTAACGGTTTCTCTATAAGTTACAACTGGGTCAGACTTTTTAATGGGGATACAAGCATGATCTTCCTCTAGATCCTTCAGGCAAATTTCCAAGTGGAGTTCGCCAGCGCCAGCTATAACGTGCTCACCCGATTCTTCGAAATAACACTTTGAATAAGGTTGAATGAATGTTGTTAAATATAAGCAAATATTATACTATTTATATAATTTAATCATATAAAAAATTCCTAGGTAAAATATTTACAAGACTAATAATTTTATTTAAGGAAATTAGGCATTTACAAATTTCATCAAATTAAATACAAATCTTACTTGAACCATAGGGTCGGATTTGGCCAATCTTTTCAAGCCCTCAACCAATTTGGGCAAGTCAGAAGGATTTTTGGGTTCCACTGCTATTCTAACAACAGGACTTACAGCAAACTTCATAACCTTTAGATATTAAATATATGCGAAATTTTTAAAATACATTTTAAAAGGTTCTTATTTTCACTGCTAGGCGATATAAAAATTCAGTTTCTATTTATCATATTATAATAAATGTATAAAAATAATGATGTAAAACATCACTACAATGGTATGATTTGTCTGAGAACGCCATTCGTTATTTGTTTCAAAAGATAACTAGATACAAATTTCATTTTAATAAGTTAATCCTTATTTAAAATTTAACTTTCTACTCCAAAAATATAAAGTATGGAAGACTCCGAGTCCAATCTGCTTATATTCTCAAAAACGATCCAGTCAACAAGAGCTATTAAATATAATTTTAAACATACAATCAACTCAAATCTCTATTCTGAGGCAACTATATTAATTACTTTGTATCTCAATTAGAGCCTTTCTTTGTTCCCCCTTTTATATATATTATGTTATTTTTAAATGTTTAATAAATATCAAATTTAAGCTGAGTTTTTTTAATTCAGATCAACCACCAAAGTTCTTATTTTTGCTGTTAATTTTACAGTCAAGATAGTTAATCTAATTAATATTGAATTAATTAAGGCATGTTAATTTATACTCCTAATATTATAATTAATTTTATAATGATGATCTAATGTTTTTTTGAAAACTAAATATCTAATAAATTCCACCAATTAATATTTATTAGTTATTTATAATTATTAATGATCAAAAATTTTCTCTAATTTAGTATACAAAATTTCTAAGTAACGAATTTGTGGATTTTTGATTTAGTTTAATTAATATAGGTATAATATCATTCTCTACCCATGAGTAGTTTGATAAAAGGGTCATTATTCCCATTTAAATTTCAAGATTAATAAATTTATAAGATTCAAATTATATATATTATTTATAGAATTTTGGCATTTGATTATATTTTAAAGCATTAGTGGTTATACTTTATTATCAAAAATAGTTTTTGTTGACTTGAAATGCAAATTGTTCAAATCTATTTCTTATATTATTTTTTAGTGTGAGGGATTGTAAATACTTAAACCAATAATATCCATATGATGTGGCTTTACAAATTGGTGAATTATAATTAATTTATCAATATCATAAATAATTGTCTGCTATGACCTTATATTTTTTTGTATTTACTTCTTTTAGTATTAGATATCCAAAATATCTAAATAACCAATTTTTGATTTAGTTGCATTTATTTAATTAATCTAAAAAATTATCAGTTTTTATATATTGAGAATCAAAGAAATTTAAATATCAAGAATTATTATATAAACATGCTCTTATATACATGTGGTTCCCAAAACCAGGGTTTAAAAATATTTTCGGGTCTAATGTGTTATCATCACAACAAACAAATATGACTCCACTTATATTAGAAAAATAATATATTTAGAAATGAGTTATAATTCTTATATTTTTTTATACTTATAATAAAAATAAATTAATTTTTTTATTTTATAAATAAACAATATAAACTTAAGTGACTTTTTTAAATAAAAAAAAACATTTTCTGTATCCATTTAATGAGCTAAATATGAATCTGCTTTTTTCTTTTTTTTTTAAAATGTATCTTGACCGGGGACGCGTAGTTTAGTCAAAAAAATTATAAATACCATTTTCGGAATCTCCTTGAAAAACTATACACGATTCTATATTCATTTTTATAAAAATAATCTATTTTGACCGGGGACGCGTATTTTAGTCAAAAAATGAAGAAAAAAGTGTTTTTTCAAAATTTTATACCACTTTTTTTAAATAAAAAAAACATTTTCTGTATCCATTTAATGAGCTAAATATGAATCTGCTTTTATTTTTTTTTAATGTATCTTGACCGGGGACGCCTAGTTTAGTCAAAAAATTATAAATACCATTTTCGGAATCTCCTTGAAAAACTATACACGATTCTATATTCATTTTTAAAATAATCTATTTTGACTGGGGACGCGTATTTTAGTCAAAAAATAAAGAAAAAAAGTGTTTTTTCAAAATTTTACTAAGTTACCACTTTTTTTAAAAATAAAAAATGAATCTGCTTTTATTTTTTTTTAAAATGTATCTTGACCGGGGACGCGTAGTTTAGTCAAAAAAATTATAAATACCATTTTCGGAATCTCCTTGAAAAACTATACACGATTCTATATTCATTTTTATAAAAATAATCTATTTTGACCGGGGACGCGTATTTTAGTCAAAAAATGAAGAAAAAAGTGTTTTTTCAAAATTTTATACCACTTTTTTTAAATAAAAAAAACATTTTCTGTATCCATTTAATGAGCTAAATATGAATCTGCTTTTATTTTTTTTTAATGTATCTTGACCGGGGACGCCTAGTTTAGTCAAAAAATTATAAATACCATTTTCGGAATCTCCTTGAAAAACTATACACGATTCTATATTCATTTTTATAAAAATAATCTATTTTGACTGGGGACGCGTATTTTAGTCAAAAAATAAAGAAAAAAGTGTTTTTTCAAAATTTTACTAAGTTACCACTTTTTTTTAAATAAAAAAAACATTTTCTGTATCCATTTAATGAGCTAAATATGAATCTGCTTTTATATTTTATAAAAAAATGTATCTTAACCGGGGACGCGTAGTTTAGTCAAAAAAAAATTATAAATACCATTTTCGGAATCTCCTTGAAAAACTATACACGATTCTATATTCATTTTTATAAAAATAATCTATTTTGACCGGGGACGCCTATTTTAGTCAAAAAATGAAGAAAAAAAGTGTTTTTTCAAAATTTTACTAAGTTACCACTTTTTTTTAAATAAAAAAAAATTTTCTGTATCCATTTAATGAGCTAAATATGAATCTGCTTTTATTTTTTTAAAAAAATGTATCTTGACCGGGGACGCGTAGTTTTTAATTTAAAAAAAGTAATTTTTCAAAAATTTTACTAAGTTATCATTTTTTTTAAATCGTAAAAAACATTTTCTATATTCATTTAATGAGCTAAATATGAATCTGCTTTAATTTAAAAAAAAAAATTGTATCTTGACCAGGGACGCGTAGTTTTATGATGTAAAAAAAAATTTTTATTTTAATTTTACTAAGTTATCATTTTTTTTTAAATCATGAAAAACATTTTTTAACTCATCTTATAAAGCTAAATAAGATTTTTTATTAATATTATATAAATTAAACCCGTTTGACCGGGGACGCGTAAGTCATACCCTAATGAACTATAAACTTTCACAATTAGCTGAACGAAACAGAAACTTATAAATTTTTCCGTTATAAATAAAGGTTCAGTTCCCTGAATATAACACATCCTCCAATACTCTGTGCCAATTGAACGAGTTTAGCACAGCGAAAGCTGTAATGACATCAAGTTCATCAAAATTTTGAATATCAATTGTTCATCAAAATAAATAAAAAATTATTATAAGATCTCATCTTATATATTATTATTGTACAATATTATTTTAAATAATTTTTAAGTAACGTGTTACTTTTTAATAGCAATTAATGCGTTTCTTTTTTGAAGTAATGCTTACAGCACTAATAAAAATACGTTTTATATATTTTAAGATAGATATTGATCTCATTTCTGCCAAGGGTTTACATGATTAAATAAATTATTTTGAATAATTGTTGTTTTTGTTTTCAAATAGGTCCTATTATTTTTTCTTATACTATAAAATTTAATTTATATTTCCAACCCAATATCTAAAAAATATTTTAGTTTAATCAAAAAAAGAAACCCTCATATTGTGAGCATCCTTAAAAGTTGTGATGGTCCCAGTCTTGACTAAGTATTGATCAACTCCTACAAGTCCACATATATTTCCACAAGGGACATCTTCAATAGATTCAGTGTATCTGCCCATCATCAGTATGGTTCTACACAAAATATTATATTTTATAAGAATTATAAATGTGTTATTTTGGATTAAAATCATATAAAATGAGATATTTTATTATAAAGTTATTTTAGAGATCAACAGCCCAAATTGTCAATTCATAAAAAATATATTTTACTAAGTTGTCCAAAAGAGCCTGTAACCCATAATTTCTAATTAAAAATATTTTGCACAATTTGTCTTATTCAGATTAACATTTCTTGTGTTTTTAAAAAATATTGCAGGGCTTTAGAATCCAATTGTTTTATATCCATGTCAAGAGAAGTTAACCAACCTTTTTTTTAAGGTTATATATATAAAATTTATGAAAATAAAAATGTTAAGGATCTAAGTTCAAATGAAGAGTTATAGGCTCAGAGTTAGCCAAAAAATAAGATTAAATGCATATATCGTTGACCGAGTCTTTATCCATTTTGAAAATTTTTTCACATGTCATAAGAATAAAATACCCATAGTATTGTTGAATAATGGCAATTTTAATTTAGTCACACGAAATAATATAGCACATATTTCTCTATAACAGATCTCCATTTATGATACATTAAATACAAAGATGCAAAAAAATTAATTATCTAGAACACAACTTTACGAGGGTGTTTTAAATTTTATTATAAGTGAGATCCAAACAAAAGAAGGTTCTTTTAGAAAAAATACCTATATTTGTTATTCATACTAATGTATTTTGAAATATTATTATTTTAAAAATATCGTTAACCTTTGAATAGATTTCTCATATAAATCGTCCTTCTTGCCAGGAACATAATTAGGCCCCATTATCCTTACTTTCTGGCCAGTCTTCGCGGTTCCTGCAAAAACGCGACCAAAAGCATAAAATCTACCTTTGTCCGATGTTGGCACCATTTTCGATATATACATAATCAAAGGACCATCAGGATTGCATTCTCTTATTGCTTATATGGTGTAACAAATATGAAATTTTATGAGATGGTGTATTTATTATTCATTTACTAGTTAAAAAACAATCCAAAAAAGAAGTGTGAACCCAAATACTTGTGTTCTGAATCAGACAAAACCTTTTTAAAATTTAAGGTTTAAGATAATATAAAAAAATTCATGATAAATAAATAAAGTTTTTTATGGAATAATTTTCCATTCTTTTTACAGTCTATAAAATTTTAAATTTTTGTGTTGCTTATCTTGTTTTTATATCTAAAATATAAGCAATTATGTTTATATAAAGTTTTTGCATGTTTAATTTTGTTTGATAATAAAAATGGTAATATTTTATTAAAAATTATGCTCTCACCCAGAACATAGAACCTTTTTAAAAATTTTAATTCTAAACCTGGACCCTGTTTTTTTGTCAAAGGGTCTTTTATGATCATTAATAAAGATTATATATTAATTAATGTAAAAATAAATAAATTTTCAATTTTCAATAAATAAATGTAGATATAATAAGTACACCTGTCTATGATTTGAACATGCTATTTGCAATGGGAAAAGAAAAAAAAAATTGTTAAAAAATATCGCCATATAAGTTATTTCAAAAGATTTATAAAATATATTCAAAATCTGAATATAAATATTATAACCATTATGTAGAAATAGTGAAATAAGATTTATAGCAGAATTACAAGAAGTAAGGTTATATAAAATAATATATATTATATATAATAATATTTTACTTTTAAACTAAAGTATCTAAGAGACTTTTTATTACTGAGGTATTTGATTAACTTTGATTTTAAGGTTCACATCCCTGTTAAAAAGGAATCTAGGATCATTTCATGTCAAATGAGATTTTTGGCTAAACCATTTCGATTTTTTTTAAAATTTGCTAAGCAATGAAAGTTTAGTGTTTAAATATCCAAAATTTTAAAAGAGTAACATTTATATTTTGGAGATATTAGAGTTCAAAGTGGTAAAATTAATATATTTATTTTTTTACTTGTATATAATTTTTTGATGTTTATATTTAGGATATTTTTTAAGATGGTTTATATCTATTTTTAGCAGATATTTTGTAATAAATGGTGTATCCAAGATTTTAGCTTGAATAATTATTTTTAATATAAATTTTATTGAATAATGTTAGATTGGAGTTCTCCTGACTTCTCATTTTTACGACTCGACTTCTGAACAAGATTCATGAACAAGTCACAACTCAAGTTTTGAATTTGAGTCATAAACTCGTTAACTTAAATTTTTTGATTAAATCAGTTATGAACACAAACCCCAAGCATAGACCCACACATTTTAAGTTTTTTTTCTTGCCCTTATTAAAGTATATAAATATAGTTATTTAAAAAACCTGATCCATTGAATGGGCAACAAGCCAAGCGCTACCTCTCAATAAATGAAACAATTACTTGGGGGGGGGGGGGGTCAGGATTATTTATTACATTTTTGCTAAAAAATAACTGTAACTAGTTATATTTTAAAAATTGTAACTAGTAACTGTAACTAGTTATATTTTTATCAATGTAACTGCTAAAAGTAACTAGTTATTTTTAGGAATATGTATGTATAAATCTAAATAATATATTCAAATAATTCATTTTATTTTTAATATGCTGTGATAAATTTATTAAATTAAATTTACTTTTTAATTTGTGTAAATAAGAATTAATAGATCTTTATTTCCTTCGAAATAAATAAACCTAATTTTTATTATTGGAGGATTTCAAAAATACCATGCAACATCTACTAAAATTTCCAATCAAATTAGTTGATTATGATAATGAAAGCGATGTGGTACATAATATTAAATGTACTAGGATATGTTTCAAGTAAATTAATTTCATGATACAATTTTTTGATGCTATTATCTTTATATGGAACAAATAAATGTCTGTTGAAATGAAGAAGTGTTGTATGTAAATCTAGATGATTGGTCAAGAATGACTCTTAATTCTGGACCAAACTTTTACCTGGAAGTGACCAATATAACCGAATAAATCTTATTAATTTAATTAAAACAAACTATATAGCAATGTCAAATCTAAATTAAGTTAAATTTCCCTTTTTTCTCCCATCTAAACCTAAGCTTTATATTTAACTCAATTCCTTATGTATTATTTTTTCCTTAATCACCTTATCAAATATATCTCATATTGAAATTCTACTTGGAGGTGACCAATTTAACCTGATAGATCCTATTATTAAACAGAAATTATAACATCAACTAATTATGGTTAAATTAATTCATTGTAAGAATAAACTATAAGTGTTTTTTTCTCCACTATGTTTAGCAATAATCTCTTTAGACATTTTAGTTAAAATAGGTTGATAAAAACTTAAGTATATTTCAACTAAAAATTATATTAATTAAAGGTAATGCAAAATATTCATTAAAGGCTTACTAAGGTCAATAAATATTGTAAATATCAATCATTTTATAAAAAATAAATAAACATTTATTAATTTTTTACTAACACTTTAGTCTAAAATTTCTTAGCATAGATCAACTTTTTCTAATTTATCCTTACTTAAATTTAATATTAAATATATTTTAAGATTTTAAGTACCTAGGAATCAGAATAATTAAATCAATTTGGTTTAAAATTTGTAACCAGATCATACTTTTTGTAACTTAATTAATATAAATTTGTAATGTATATTCTCTTATCTTATTAAATTTAGAAAATTTTTGGTGTAAAAAACATTTTTCTCAGTGCCTATATAAAACATTTGAATGAAACATTACCCGAATAGATCAAAAAAGATGAGAATTTTAAATTTAATAAATACTTTAATACCTCGCAGTAAATCTAACACAAATGGCCCATGTTTGCAACAAACATCATTAGATGTAGTTGGAATTTTTGATTTAAAGCGTCAAAATATTATTGCTAATGATGAATTTATTGAAAATTTTATTAAATTCAATAACAGCACATTATCTTTATATGACGATTTTCCAAATTTAAAAATACCCTTTATTAAATATAATGTTGTCATCATCAAGGGCTCCTGTAGAGCGTTTATTCAGTCTAGGGAAGCTCATCTTTTAGGAAAAACGAGCGTGTCTCCTAGATAAAATTTTTAATCCAATTGTAGTTATAACAATAAATGTTTTTTTTTCAATGCAAATATATAGAATATTTTTATTCGATGTAATTATAAATATTCTATTTTCCAATATTTTTTTCGGTTTACTTATTTTTTTATAAATAAATTGTATATATTTTTTAAACAAATGATTATAATTTGTATATCATAATTTTTTATATTAAATAAATTCGTTCAGTAAATAAATGTGTTATATGAATGATGTATAAAGTAACTTATAATGTAACTAGTTATATTTTTGCCAATCTAGTAACTAATTATGTTTCAAAAGTAACTTTAACAACACTAAAAAATACTATAAAACCAAGCCAAAATATCTTCAAGTTTTTTTATTAACAAGATTATAAACGTCGTGGGTTATTATTTATTACACCTTTGTATATATTAAAAATATAGAGAAAAAAATTGTTTTTATTTTTTTTAAATTTATAAAAAATCGTCTATAAAAAAGTTCGGGAGGTATGTTATATTATTTATTTTTTTATGATTTTTTATAATTATTTTTTTAATATTAATTTAATTATTTACATTTTTAATAATAATTTTTCTCCCAGATAATAAATAAATAAAAAAATAACCTAATAGCTTCCTTTATTTTTATTTAGCTTAATAAAACAAATTCTTTATAAATTTAAAATATAATTTTAAGTAGAAATAGTCTAGGATGTTTCTCTTACTAGTAGAAGTAACTACTATATAGGCTGATATTTTCACTTTAATGATAGATATGGTGAACCTTTGTCAAAGAAAAAACCTCACTTAAGGTCTTCTGAGTGTTTGCTGATTTGTGACCCTAATTTTTAGAGAATGCTTGGGAAAGCATGGCTAAATTGATAGGCATGGAATAATACTATAAATATTTTTAGAATGGCATTTTTTTATAAAACTCAAAATATTGTTAAGAAAATTTAATATTGGTAGAATGAATAAGAATTAGTGCCTGTATCGGGCCTAATTTTTCAAGCCCTGTCCAAAATTTTTAAAAAATATTAGGCCTGATACAGCCCTAACCAAAATTATTTTTAAAAAATAAGCCCAGCCCAAAACCAGTTTGAGAAGCTATCAGAGTTGTTAAACGATACTTTTGAAATGAATCTAGGTACAGCATTGTCTAAAAATAAATTTAGATACATCTAGTAAATCGCACCATTTGAGCCAATTTTTAAAATTGGTTGACTCAATATTTTCATCAGAAATATATTACCCTCAAGATTTCGATATATGTCAAAACCTTTTTAGCTATCTAAGAGCAAAATCTTTAGACTTGCATAATATTTTTTTGGAAAATATTATTTAATATTTTTTTGTAGTGAGCTTACACTTTTACAATAAAAATCCTATACTATTGCACTAGTTTTTCAATAGGGTTTCTGTATTGGGTATTAAATCTCTATGTACATCAAGCAGTTAGTCCATTCAATGGATTCTATCATGTCACAATTTGAGATATGTTTTAATTCTCTGTAACAAAGAAAAAGTCTTTACACAAATTGTTATTGTCAAAATATACAGTAACTTATATATTTAGAAAGCTAAATTATGTTAAATATTTAATTTTTCAATATCAATATTTAATCCTCAGATGGATTTCTAAATATAATAGTATTTGTAAATTGGATAGTCATTTGATGAATCACAAAGTAGAATAAAAACAGTTATAGTAAACCTCAATTGAGTCCATATTAATACTAGAACAATTTGCTTGTCTAAATGCAAATCGAGGCTGGTAAATATTATAATCATATTAGCTTTAGCCTCAACAATAAAACATATCTCATAAAATTTTTGGTCAATATTATCTCTTAAAGTTATTATATAATAATATTCCCAATTATCATAACCAAACAAAATTTATATCATTTTTCAAAAATTTTGCAACTTGTCATGAATTTTTAAATGAAATATCTGGGATCAGGTTATTACAATATTTCTTATAATAGGGGTTCTTCTAAGTTCAAACTGTAAGCTTGTCTCAAATGCTACATCTTGTCGAGCCTGCTTTTTGCAGTTACTCCTTAACTTGTAGCACAAGAAGTCTCAGAAATAATTCTAATTCAGCAAATTCTGTCCCATTATCTTAGGATTAAATACACTAAGTACCTAATAATAGTTATTACTTTGTTTAGTTGATAAAATTTTTATCCATCAGTGTTTCAAGCTATAATATCAAAATATAAGGTATCATGATGAAAATTTTATGATTGGTGAGCCCTAATTAAAAGTTAAATATTTACAAAAAATAAAAACAAACATATCAATTTTTAAATCAAATAAATATAAGATTTGTATACCAGTAGCTACTTCATCATCTGCAGGACCTTCATAAAGTAGTTCTGTTCTGTATCTTTGAGCAACAGCAGGGGATGGCAAATGAATAACTATCATTTGAAGCAATGTTTCACCTGCAGGGAGCCAGGTACGCATTACTTTCTGATTATTTAAAAATAAATATTTGTTAAAATCTTATTTTTAAAATATAATTCGCTACCCTAATAATATAATTTTCAAATGGAAAAGAATGCTAGATTTTACTTATTTTAGTTTGTGGCCAACAATAATTTCAAAACTTAAAGACTAACATTAAAAAATACATATTTTAGAAAACTTATAAAAATGTTTTGACCACATTTATTATTTTTTATCCAAATAATTTTAACAAACTTTAAGTAAAGCTTTTCCTTCCAATTCTTTCAAATCTGTTTTAAGTTTATCATAAATACCCAATCTTTGTAAAAGTTTTTCACATTCATCTTTTTTGAAATTGTTTATGGCATCAAATATCTATATTTAATTTAGAAAACAAATATAAACTAAACTGTAAGCATTTTATAAAAATACTTTATAAATTGGGTCAAGTACAAACTGATTAAATCCTCTTTTGGCTTTGCCTCCTTCTGCAGTTTTAGTCCATTTTTTAGTTTCTGGGTTGAAGAAATTATCTCCCCAAAGCCTTTTCATAAGCTTAGAAACATCAACATTAAATTTTTCTGCATAAATTTCAGCAAGTTGTTTGAGAGTGAAAGCCCAACCATGAAGCCCAGAACCAAAGCCACAATTACCAAGAGCTGGGTCAATCTAATATACAAATATTGTAAATGGAAATCATAAATTTGCATTATTGTAAAATGTAATTATCATTATTTATAATATTACCATGATATTGCCCATAGGACCTTTTTCAGCTTCTCCATATGTTGCAATGATAACATTAATATTTTCAGTAATGCGTTGAAAAGTTTGGTAAAGTTTTTCTTGGTCTAATTGTAGTTCTAACAGAGCACGGTCAAGTTTATTCATGAATAAAACAGGTTTTATTCTTTCTGCTATAGCTTGCCTCAACACAGTCTCAGTTTGGACACATACTCCTAAAAAAAATAGCTTTATATATATATAATAGATTTCTAATAACTACCATTAACACAGTCTACAACAACTAGTGCTCCATCAGTAACTCTGAGAGCTGCTGTAACTTCAGAAGAAAAATCAACATGTCCAGGTGAATCTATCAGATTGATCAGAAAACCTCGGCCCTCACCTTTAGGTTGTTGGATGAATTCAATATCTTTGACTTCCATTTCAAAGTACATTGTAACAGCACTATAATTTAACATATAATTTTGACATAAAATAGAATATACGTGGATTTTATAGTAATACATCGTTCTTGTTCATCTTTTCTAGTATCAGTGAAACGTGTTTCACCTGCTTTTCCTTGGGAAATGATTCCTGCTTTGGATACTAAAGAATCTGTTAAGGTGGATTTACCATGATCAACATGAGCTATGACGGACATATTCCTTATATTTAATTTTTTGTCCATCAAGCCCCTGATCTCGTCAACAGTAAAATTAACCTAATATTAAAATATTATTAGCATTATATAAAAAGCAGGTATTTTACCATTTTTGTAATTTAATATGCCTCTTGATTTAAATATATTTTCAATCCACGAAGCAACGTATTGAAACGATAAAGGAATTGAAATATTATTCAAATGTGGATAACCAATGCGATTCGCTAGTATTAAATTAAATATGTAATTAATTTATTGAAATTTTTATATATCAATTTTATATATAATATTATAATATACAAACGAATATCGATGTATAAAATAAAAATATACAGAAATATGATCATGTATATTTATTCAGAAATATAAATTTTATTTATTTACTTTCTATAAAATACAGGGGCGCCGCTAGCCTTTACAATCACAGGGGGCTCAACGAAAAATTTTTTGAGGGCTCGGCCAGGTTTTATATTAATATATTATTCTTTTTTAAAATTTGCTAACTCTAAACAATTTTTCTGAATTTCATATTTTGTCATTTATGCATACAAAATAAACTAACATTTAAATAATTAAAACAAAACAAGACATATCTAAAATAATATTTTTTAATACTAAATCTATTTATTACAGTATAAAATATTTTCGATGGTTGATATAAAAAAAATTACAAGTGATAAAAAAAGGTTAATTAATTTATACATTGCCTCATTTGGTAATGGTTTTTAAAATCCATATAAGGCTTGAAAAAAGGTCATGAAACTAATATAACTCTCTGTTACCATTTTAGACAATGTTTTATAGAATGGACTAATAAAAAAATTTATAGGCCTTACTAAATTAACAATTCTTGAAGAGAATATAAACGACCAATCCAAATCATAACTATATGGTAGTTAAAGCTTCCTCTTAGATGACATTATGAAAGGTAGATAAGTAATCGAGAAAATTATTGTGAGATTTTAAATTTCTAAAAGATTTTATTCAATTTTTAATGAAATATAAACGAGTACACAGTTGACCATTATTGCATATCTATATCTATAATCAGAGTCTACATGAGCGGGAGGGGTAGGAACAGTTTGCATCCTATTTTTTTTGAGGAGAGTAGGGGGTAAACGGCTTTAATGGGGGTAGGATAAATTTTTTGGGGGGTTATCTATTAAATTTGAGATGAAATAGGATACATTTATTGCTGTAGAAATTAATACTTTTATTATAGAACTATTATAATACAATTCATCGACCAAATCTATATATTGCAAACAATCATATACATTGTTTTCCAAATTCTACTATCCTTTTATGTAATTTAAAATTAGATATTTTAGCAAGCTCATAATGCTATGATAATGAATTCATTGTAAATAATCGAGGTTTTAATTGAATTTATCTAAAAAATAAATCTTTATATTTACAAAATAAATTTTTTGTATTTACAAAATAAATCCTTTGTATTTACAAAATAAATCCTTTGTATTTACAAAATAAATCCTTTGTATTTACAAAATAAATCCTTTATATTTACAAAATATTGATATTTGACAGGTGGAAAATTTTTTTTTGGGGGGGGGGGGGTAGGCAAAGGTTTTTAAAGGGGGTTTGCATCCAGTGAAAATTCTGTCATGTAGACGCTGTCTATAATATGCTATCATATGTTCTCAGCAGCTGTAGTAATAATCTTAAATTACATAGCCACACAAATAATAGATGCTGGTTAATTTACAGTCATAGCCATGAAACTCACGATGGTAACCCATATCAGAATTTATTATATTAGAATTGATTAAACAAAAACACTAAAAATCTTAAGAAGAAATTATGCAAATACATTGAAGCCTTGAGTTATTTACTCGGCAGGATGACATATTAGAAATGAAACATTTTGTAACTATAAAATAAGAACCAGAGTGATATCATAAAAGCAATTAAAATTTTATATATTATTGTCGCACCATCTCTAGTTGGTATATTATATCTTAAAATAATAGTATTTTGTAATAATATCTAAAATTATTCGTATTAAAAATTTAACTCAAAACTGTTTTTCAAAGAAAAAAAATAGCTTTCCTAAGAACACGTAGAAAAGATATCTAATTTATTACATCCATTATGGGATGAATAATAAAATGTTTAATTATAATAATATTTTAAATTAGATGGCGTTAAATAGTTGAATGCAAATTATTACTTATATTTATTATAAAAAGCCATGATTAGTAAAATTTTAAAAATTAACTGTAATATATTATATAACTGTCAAATACGTCTGCAAATTGGCATTTTACCTATTATTTTATAAATAATTATATATATTATAAACTATATGTCTACTTGCTTTTTATAAATAAATCTCTTATACTTATTTGGATTTGAACCTTGAAAATAATTTTAGAAAGAGACATGATAAATAAATATTAAAATCAATAATATAGTTGATTAATGATGTTAAACTCGGCTGATTGTATATTTAATTAGGGTTATATAATATATTAAATAATAAAAGTCAATTAAGATTCAACTGTTAATGCTAAATTAATATTTAGTGAGTTATATTAATATATTTTTAACACAAAATTTGATCGTAAGCTGACATAGTGATAATATAATTTATATGTATTAATCTAATCTAATAATTATAAGAGTATTCATAAAAATTTATATAGTCTTATTAATTTTTAAATAATAAAATTAAATCTATATATTACTCAATAAAATTATAAAAGAAATTGTTCAGGGAGCAATTAAAACAATTTATTTTAGTTCAAGGGGATATTAAGGAGTCATTAAAAAAAAATTTGCTTCAGGGGGCTATTAGGGGGCTCGAGTCCCTGCGCCCTCCCTAGCGACGCCACTGTTAAAATATACATAATATTTAAAATTATTTTATCATATATATATATATCAGTGGCGTATCCAAGATTATCCTATAGGGGGAGAATTTTTTCTTTTTTTTTTGGGGGGGGGGGGGGCTTTGCCCCCAAACCCCTTTTGGCTGGCCTTCGGCCAACTTTTCCTCCATTTTCAGCCAGGTCATATCTGTGAGTTATTCTTTTAAATTATTCATAATTTAATAACATTATATTAATATTTTTAGTTTTTATTTACTAATTCGCGCTTATAAATATTTAAAGAAGAAATAAAGGTTCCAATTTCTATTTTAAGTTAAGTATATATAAAAAAAAATTTTAGATATAAAAATGAAATGAAGTTTAGAGTCAATTTTTTTTTTATAAAATTGGCTTAAAAACTAGTTTCAACTTAAATTCTCATATAATATTAATAGAATAAAAAAAATTTTCTTTAAAATAGTAAATGTAGTGTATCTAAAATATTGACTAGAAAATTTTTTAAAGGACAAGTTTTTATAACTTATTATGAAATACAATATTATACAAAAAAAATTATTAAATATTGGAATTATAATGTCATTTTTTATTTTCGTGGGAAATTTGCCAATTCATCAAGAATTTCGTTTGTCGTTGGAATCAAATCTCTGTGGATATTTAACAGAGCTAACCCATTTAGCACAGATTTGTAAGTAGTATTTTGTAAATAAATTTTCAACCTTCTAAATTTCAAAAGGTCCTTTCATTCGTATATGTTGCAACAGGCAAACATGCAAGAATATTAAATACCTTCAAAATATTTGGAAATTAAGCCAAGGTTTCTTTATACCGATTAAGCGCATCAATAGCATGCTCAGGTAAAATAATAAACTTAGTAAATATTTATACCACAATTCGAATTGACTGATTAAATAGATTAAAGTATGAATATCATAGGAATAAAATTTTACTAAATATTCAATTTTACCAATAATGGCATCAGAAAACGAAGAATGGTCTTTAGGTAATAAAATTTGATAGTTACTAAAGACTTGTTTTTAATCTAAAAACCATACTTAAATTTGCGATAAAAAAGTATCTAAGAATGCGATGAAATAGGATATTTTACAAAAATCTATAAGATTTAGTTTTTGATTCAACGTCTATATAAATATTACAATGACATATAAGTGATATTGATATTCTATTTTTATCACAGAATTTGATTGCTAACTGACATAGTGAAATAATTTATATGTATTAATCTAATCTAATAATTAAAATAGTATTCATTTAACAAAAATATAGATAGCCTTATTAATTTTTTAAAAATATAATTAAATTGATATATTACGTAATAGAATTATAAAAGAAATCGTTCAGGGGGCAATCAAAACAATTTATTTTTACTTCAAGGGGAGCCATTAAAAAAAATTTTTGCTTCAGGGGGCTATTAAAATTTTTCAGGGGGTTCTAGCCCCTCACTAGTGATGCCATTGATTTATCCCACGACAAGTTATAAGTTAAGATATAATAAATTGATAAATGTTATAAATGCTATATAATATATTATTATATTTCTTATTATTTATATTACTGTTTATTTTGATTATATTATCATGATTATTTTATATGTGATTGATGTTCATAATGTGATTCTGTGGATTGAAACTAATAAAATTAACGTTTGTTATAATTTACTATATTGGCGACGAAGGATTCTCATATTATGAACAAAGAAGAAAAACTGACTATTGTAATTGGTAAATGAATCAATCATCCTAAATCTTATTGACAAGAGTGGTGAAATTAATATTTTAAGTGAAACGAATAAGGGGAATCAAGTAAAAAAAAATAATTTTGACAATAGATATAACTCAAGTAGAATTTGATAATTATGATAAGCAAAACAATTTTTAAGGCTATATTGAATAAATATATGATGTTTTGGGGATAAGGAAAATATTGATGGATACGGATGCCAAGAAAAATATATATTATTTGCATACATGGTGATTAGTAATTTGGCAAAAATGAACTCATTTATATATCCAAGAATTTTGAAGGAACTAAATTATGATGAATGGTGGAAAATTAAGGCAGTTTTTAGTTTCAGGGAGGCTTAAAAAATTGGCACAAGAGTCTAAGCTTAAATCAGACCTAGACGAGAGATTAAGAGATCAGATGGTGGCAGGGATAAAATTGGGACCATTGGAGTTTGTATCAGATTTCCAGATAGAGTAAATAATCTGGGAAAAAGGATGAGTTTTTAACAAGTTTTAAATATGGCAGAGCTGAGAATGAAGTTACAAATATGATGGTAAAAAACGTTATAAACCTAAAGAGCAATTGGAGAATATTCAAGGAAATTTTTTAAATTAAAGTTAATTATT